GCATATGCAGACTAATTTATAACATTTTTGCTCACTTCTGTTGTTTATAGCAGTGCTAGAAAGGAAAGTGTGTAGAGTGTGGGTGTCTCATCACACCACAGAGTTTCCATGTCTTGTGCAGCATTTTTTGGCCAAGCTTGACATTTCCCAGGTCTGACAACCACCATATTCCCCAGATCTCACCCCTTGCAACTTTTTTTCCACTTTAAAAACGAAATCCCACTTGAAAGAACCAAGATGTCAAGGAAATCCAAGAGAATGAAATGAGGCAACTGGTTGCTTTGCCAAAAAAGGAGTTTGAGGAATTCTTTCATCAATGGAAAAAATGCTGGAAGCTTCAGAAGGTGACTATTTTGAAGGAGATTAAATGCCAAATTGATATGTGTTGTAGCTTCCTTTTTGTTATGGGAACTTACCCATAATAATAATGGACTATTCCTGACATTATAAATACTGCACCTCTCAAGAGGTATCGGGAGATTGTAAGATGAGGAGAGATAATTAAGAGTACATTGTAAGGACATTGGAATAGTGATACTTGTCGAGACAACATAGTTCACCCTAACCAAATCTGATAGTCATTACTAATACTTCTACTTCTTTGTATTATATTTCTGTTGTAATATATCTTTGTATTCCATACCTGTGTTCGTGTTATTCTTTCATTGGTTCTAACCTTGGACCATCACCGTGGTACAAGGAACTTGGACCATAACACTTTTGTAGCACCTTTTCCGATACTCTTTGATCAGGCCACATATATGTTGGGATGTGGCATGATGCTAACTAACACCTGACAGTGAACTCTCATGAAAAATCTTCTGAGAGCGATCAAAGCAGTAAAAGTAAAATGCATAATAAAACTCCTTTGTGTCTTCTCTAAGAACCACATCTTCTTTTTCTTCTATGTATTGTAGCCCTTGAGGACATAGGCAATGATGGCTATCCATATTTTCCTCTCCTTTTTCTGTCATTGTTTTCCTTAGTTTGTGAGGTAGGTTATGTGTTGGCTTTGATCTGTCCTTATTGCCTTCTTTATGTCTTGTGAGTATCAAATTTTTCAAGCCTGCTTTCCTCTTTATATGCCCAAGAAATTTCAACAATCTCTTTCTTATGCTAATTATAAGTATCCCTTTTGCTTCCATTTTCTCTAAAACTTTGTTGTTGTTCAAATGTTCAATGGTATTCTCAGTATCCTCCTGTAGAACCATATCTCTGTTGTCTCAAGTCTTTTCTTCCTTTATGAGGAGATTTTCCAGCATTCACTGCCATATAGCAGGACTGATATTACATAACAGGTCAGTGCTCTTTTCTTTCTTTCTAATTAAATTTTCCTATTTCTAAATACTTTGCTTAGCTTTTTGGAAGGCATTTTTCGCTATCCCTGTGTGCCTTTTAATTTTGGTGTTACATTTTCTATCTTCTGGTAAAACATTGTCTAGATATTTAAATTTTTGGAAATATGGCTTTGGTCATTCTTCTATCTGCTGTGTCCCTTTAGGAAATGGGTGATCTTAGCTTCATGTCCTTTGCAGCACTTAAAAAATTCTGCCATTTTGTTATCTCTCCTAATCTCTGTTCTTCCAAATCATCTACATGAGTTTGTTAGGTAGGTTATTCACTGCTTTTTTCTGTCTGTTTTTGTTATCTCTCCTAAACCCTGTTCTGACAGCCATTTACACAAGCTTGTTAGGTAGGTTAGGCACTTTTGCCTTCTATCTGTCTTGCCTTCTATCTGTCCTGTGAGTATCAAATTTTCCATGTCTTCTTTCCTCATTATATGACCTAGAATTTTTAAGTCTCTTTCTGATGTTAAGTATAAGTAAAAAAAAATATGTCTTGTGAGTGTCAAATTCTCTAAACCCTTTTTCCCCATTTCAATTTCTTTCCAAATTTCAATTGTCCCTTTCTGATTCTAAGTATAAGTGTCCATTTTGTTTCCATAATTCCTAAATCTTCCTTGTTACTCACATATCCAGGCCATGGGATTCTCTGTAGAACAACATTTGTGTTGCCTCAAGTCACTTCTTCATCTGTGAGGAGGTTGTCCAGCATTCACTGCTATCAGGAGGACTAATATTACATAACAGGTCAGTACACTTTGTTTCTAATTAAATTTTTCTATTTCTTAATACTTATCTTCTTGGAATGCATTTTTTGCAATCCCAATGTGCCTTTGGATTTTGGTGTCACATTTTCCATCCTCTTCCTGAAACACTTACTAGATATGTAAATTTTGTACCTGCTTGATTTTGGCATCTCCAATTTGTAATTACATTTTGGGCTGTCCCTTTTGCTGACAACCATACATTGTGGCTCCTTACAATTGATATTTAGTCCTTTCTTCTTGCTTTTCTTGCTTAACTTCTATAGGAATTCCAGTTGTTTTCTTTCTATGACCGATATCAACACAGCGTCATCTTCATATCTTATGTTATCAAGATTGTGGCTGCCAGTAGTGAATCTTGGTAGGACTTCTAAGTCTAAGAATGAGAAGTCAAGTACTTACTGGAATGATACAAAGAACTGACTACTTTTCCTGCATTTTTAGCAATGGACTGAAGTTCCATGAGGTCTGGGTTGAATTTAAGGCCCAGTAGTCACTAAAGGCATGGTTCTCCCCAAAGGAATATCCATTCATCATGACTGGTGGTAGTCCAGGGCCCAATTTAGCTGTATATTATTAGCTGATAACTTGTTATCACAAAGTTTCTCATACTTTTTAAGCAATGACACTCCTAGGAGCAAATGAAAATATCACGGCACACTTAGCAAAATTCTCAAAGGTTATGCATTTAAATGTTATAAAAGAAAACCATAGATTTTAAAAGAAATACACACACAAAAATGAACTTAATTTATTTCAATGTTTCTATTCAACTATCTGTGCAGCTTGTTTAGTGTGAAAACAGTGTCTGGTGTTTTTTCACGATTTCTTCAATGTTTGGTCAAATGTGCAATAAGCAGACCCTATTTCTTCTTCCGTTGAGCATAGTTTTCTTATTTTCATGTTATTTAGGGTTGAGAAGCCTAATTCACATAAATAAGAAGTAGAGAATTGCATCTGTCTATATTTCTGAGATGAGGTATTATGTACACTATTTCCATTATTCAGACTATTGTCCTCATCTTTGTCACCATGTTTCTCACAACGTTTCAGCCGTTGTACACGCTAGCCTTCTTCAGGTGGTTGGAATGTTGAACTGAACCCTTTATTTCGCTCACTGGGCTAGACTGTTCTAGTTCCACATGCCATGTCTAATGGATATCTGTTATCTCTTGTTAATTCCTCTCTGAAAGTTCTCCACTGCCTTAACCAGGTCTTGAACTCAAGCTCTTTGGGTCTTGTCACTGGATCTAACTAATGCCTTTATCCACTGTGCCTTTTTAGCCAATGTGGGATAAAAAGCTTAATACTTATTCATTTATTCAACTACTAACACGGTACCATTACAACTTACACACACACATACGTATGGATGCCATGACAATATTTCGTGGTGCACTTAAGAGGTTTGCACTTCACTCTGGTGTGCCTTGGCATGGTGGTTGAGAATCACTGAGTTACTATAAACTTCAATTACTTATTCAAAGAAAGATTTTTTATACCTATCAAGATAATAAAAGAAATTCCTTTCATTTTTTGAAATTTATATTTTTGAAATATTTGTGAATTTTTTAACTACTCCGAGTAAAATTATGTGCAGGCTCTGAGGTGATTCATTTACATATAAAGTCACAAAGACTATAAATAACTATGGCTATTACCCACGAGGCAGTTGAGTGCATACTACTTTCAATATCTAATGAAACAAATGAACAATTATCACTTGATAATTATGAGTACACACAATACTAGCAGCTAAAGCTTGAACAAAAATGCTAAAGGATTCAAAATCAATCAGAGGAGAAAACCAAATAACGAACCTCTTGTTGGCAACTGATGGTTGTGAGGCCATTATAAAATTATTAGCAGTTGCATACCCAATCGTTGGAGGATCACTCCTATGAAAAAAGAAAAAAAGGTCAAGATCTCCCATATGTAGACAATCTCTTAGGGAGAGGGAGGAAGATAGTGAGGATAAAAAAAACTCCCAGAAGAAGTACCAGGGAAAATAATGGGATAAAACCTTTTCGGTACAGGGAGATGAAGGGACTCATTTAGATATGAAGTCACAAAATCCCTGACCTGAGCACAATGAACAAAAACTTGGAGAGTTTAGTTATAAAGGGAAATTAACTGAAACTAAGATATCCAAAAGCATGGTACATGGGTTTGGAACAATGTACCCCCATAAAGGGTTCAATTTGAAATTCCAACAAGTATCACTTGAAGAAACCCGGAGCAGAAAACCGTGTAAACATTGTGAATGTGGCAATAAAGATAAAGACAACAGTCTGAACAACGTAAAGAGTGTTAATAGTTACAATAACTCATCTTTGAAATATAGACAGATTTAGATAAAATTTATTTGTGCACTTATTAATTTTGCCTTAGTTAAAGACTATAAATAATTAATTAATTCTGCTTTAATTAAAGACAATAAATAGCTATAGCTATTACCCATGAGGCAGTTGAGTGCATACTACTTTCTGCTAGTAGGAAACACTACACAAGGGTTTTTTTTGCAAGAAAAGTTCTTATACTGTGAGATGTTCTCAAATTTAAAGCAACTCATTCTATGTCCAATAGGTAAGTAAATATTTAATTCTTTTTAGTGAACATTTTTGAGATAATAACTTTGGATTGGTGTAGAAAAGCTTAAAAGTTGAAGAACAGATAAAAAAAAAATATATAAGCATTTTTTTCTTTCGAAGAAAAGTTCATAGAGATTTATAAACCTGATACACATTCCAACTCTTTCCTGTGTCAATCTCTTAAGAAGAAAATAATTGTTTTGAGTCAAACATGAAAAAAAAAAAAGGAAACCATTTAGGTTTTTATTTTACTCACTTTGATGACTTAATTTTATTATAGACAGAAAGTTTAAAAACTTCTTTTAAGAAGGAAAGAAAGTGAGAGAACAGAGTGAACAAGAGAGGGATAGAAGAGAACAAGAAAGAAGAAAGGAAAAGAAAGAGAAAGAGGAGAAAAAGAGAGAGAAAGAGGAGAAAAGGAGAGACAAAGAGAACAAGAAAGAAGAAAGGAAAAGAAAGAGAAAGAGGTGAAAAAGAGAGAGAAAGAGGAGAAAAAGAGAGACAAAGAGAACAAGAAAGAAGAAGGGAAAAGAAAGAGAAAGAGGAGAAAAAGAGAAAGAAAGAGGAGAAAAGGAGAGACAAAGAGAACAAGAAAGAAGAAGGGAAAAGAAAGAGAAAGAGGAGAAAGAGAAAGAGGAGAAGAAGAGAGACAAAGAGAACAAGAAAGAAGAAAGAAAGAGAAAGAGGAGAAAAAGAGAGAGAAAGAGGAGAAAAGGAGAGACAAAGAGAACAAGAAAGAAGAAGGGAAAAGAAAGAGAAAGAGAAAAAGAGAGAGAAAGAGGAGAAAAAGAGAGACAATGAGAACAAGAAAGAAGAAGGAAGAGAAAGAGGAGAAAAGGAGAGACAAAGAGAACAAGAAAGAAGAAAGAAAAAAAGAGAGAAAAGAGGAGAAAGGAGAGACAAAGAGAACAAGAAAGAAGAAGGAAAAAAAAAAAAGAGAAAAGAGAGAGAAAGAGGAGAAAAAGAGAGACAATGAGAACAAGAAAGAAGAAGGAAGAGAAAGAGGAGAAAAGGAGAGACAAAGAGAACAAGAAAGAAGAAAGAAAAAGAGAGAGAAAGAGGAGAAAAGGAGAGACAAAGAGAACAAGAAAGAAGAAGGGAAAAGAAAGAGAAAGAGAAAAAGAGAGACAAAGAGAACAAGAAAGAAGAAGGAAGAGAAAGAGGAGAAAAGGAGAGACAAAGAGAACAAGAAAGAAAAAGAGAGAGAAAGAGGAGAAAAGGAGAGACAAAGAGAACAAGAAAGAAGAAAGGAAAAGAAAGAGAAAGAGGAGAAAAGGAGAGACAAAGAGAACAAGAAAGAAGGAAAAAGAAAGAGAAAGAGGAGAAAAAGAGAGACAAAGAGAAGAAAAAGAAGAGAAAAAGAGGGACAGAGAGAGGAACAATGAAAGGAAAAAAGATAAAAAAAGGATCAAATGAAAGAACTGATAATTAAAGTCGAAAGCAGGTGATTAATACAGAATAAGAAAGAGAAAAATAAAGTCAAAGAAAGTCTGTGGTCAGGGCCGATGTGTACTACCCCTGAATACCCTGGTCAGGGGGTGGGGCAAGCTTTATTGTAACCCTCATTATCTTATCAACATATGCTTTTTTCTATCTACATTTATATATGCTACAAGTTAAACTAAGTACAACTCACCATTAGTATTAAAGGATGAAAAATTTTTACAGATTTTGTCATCATTTGTTTTTTATCCAAATCTGTGAATTTGTTTTGCTCATATTAAGTCTGGGAAAAACACTATATAAAATTCACTATATTTTATCCATAATGTTGAATGTGTTAAAATTATTAAACTTTTTAACAAGAAAATCTCAAGTTGATGTTAAAAATTGCCGCAAAACATTTTGGTTTATTTAACATGGGATGATCTATTATGACATATCACTAATTTGTAATTAGATACAATGGAACCTCGGTTCACAAATTTAATTCGTTCCTGAAGGCCGTTCATAACCTGAAATGTTCTTAAGCAGAAACAATTTTTCCAATCGGAATCAATGTAGAGAAAAAAAATCACAGTACAATAAAATTGGAAAAGAAAAGCACACCACAACACACAAATGTATACAACATGGCGGTTGACTCAGAAATTATTTTGTTCGAGTTAACTCAGTTCCACAATGTTGTTCGGAAACTGAAATTTTGTTCAATAACCGAGGTATTTTCATCTCGAATTTTCTGTTTGAAAACTAATTTGTTCAACATGTGAGATATTCGAAATCCAGGGTTGCATAGTACATTGTATTTATTTCCAATTTTTCTAGTTGAATTGGTCAATTATATTAAATATGATCCATTATTGTACATAATTAGGTTACAATAAAATTTGTATTTTATATGAATACTACCTTATGAAAATTGAGATATAGTAAAGTGGGGGCCAGATTCTTATAGTCTTATAGGTGGTGGGAGAAAGAGACCCTTGCACCGTCTCTCACTGAAGTGATATGTAAATTAATGCCTAATTAGCATAGCTAAAGCATATATATAAATGCTTAAGCAGTAAGGGTAGACCAGCTTTTGGTATGCAAGATAAATGACTATCCTTGGACTGATGAAATACGAAGGAAAGCACACTTTATGGTAGAGACACCTATGAGGGAAAAGGGTGAAAAGAAATAGAGAAAGGTTGATAGCAAAAAAATGAATAAGGAAGAAGGAAGGAGAGAAAGGTGTAAAGAGAGAAAAAGATAAAGAAAGAGAAGAAAGGAATGGGAAAGAAGCAAAAAAAAAAAAAAGAGACAGAGAGGGTAATATTGAAAGGAAGAAAAACCAAGAAAGTAAATGAAAGTGCTGGTAATTAAAGATGAAAGCAAATGATTAATACAACATGAGAAAGAGAGAAGTAAAGAAGAAGAGAGATAGATTAAGGAATGATAGAAAAAGAGTGAGGAAAGAAAGAAAGGAGTATAGAGAAATAAAGAAAAAGAAGAAAATGGTAAAAGAAGAGAAAGAGAGAAAAAAGAGAGAAAGAAAAGGAAGAAGATACACAAAGAAGGAGAAGAACAGAAAAAGAAAGAACAGAAAAAATAGACAGAAAAGGAGAGAGAAAGAAGTGAAAGATAAAAAAAAATAGAAAGAATGAAAGAGAAAGGATAAAAAAAAGAGAGAGAACAAAAATTGATTGATCAATTCATTCATTTTTTATGGCTTATCAACCCTTTGCAGGTTATTTAAAGCCAGAAAATACTTTTAGATTTTAAAAACATTTTGGAGATAATAATGCTTTACTGATACAAGTCCTACTAATTAACCCATAGCTTGGGGGTAAAAGAAGCAGAGGACATTTGCTTTGTATGTAAATATAATAAATCTGACTGGAATTGAAACTTGGCACTCAGATTCACTGAATCATTATCCATTACACCACCCACACATCAAAGTTTACAGCATCAAGTAGAGAAAGAAGAGAAAAATAGAGAGAAAGAAGAGGAAAAGGACAAAGAGGATAAAAAGAAAGCAAAAAATGAGAGTGGGAAACAATGAAAAGAAGTAAGATCAAGAAAGCAAATGTAAGTGTCAGAAGACAACAACCAGTGACTAATACAAAGTGAAAAAGGAACAGAGAAAGTAGAAGGAAAACACATTGAAAAAGAAAGAGAGGGGAAAAGAGAATATCAAAAAAGAAAGGGAAAGAAGAATGGAAAAAAGAAGAGAGAGAGAGAGAGAGAGAGAGAGAGAGAAACAGAACAAAGAAGTAGTAGGAAGAGAAAGAAGACAAAAAGAAAGAAAAGTAAAAGCAATAAAGGGAGTAGAGATACAAAAATAGAAAGAGAAATAGAGAGAAAATGATGAAGATGAACTTATATCCTTTGAAGACAGCCTTTCTATTCATTTCTTTTTAATGTTTTGTTTTATTAGATAAATGTCAGAAAATATCACATTTTAAAAATTTAATAGCCAAAACATTAATTATTCTTGGAAAGAATAAGAATTATTAGATTAATTATTTGGATTTTATCAACATAATTTGATGAAATCAAAGCCCAAATTAAAAAATAAGTGTTCGTTTTAAATAAATGATGTGTTGATTGGATTTCATTTCCCTTAAAGTTACCTGACAAATTAGTTTTCAAATTACAGAAAAGGATTATTCAAATGAATTATTTCAACGGGGGACTTTCTTTATATTTTATTTTTAATTTTAACAAACATTTATCATTTTTTGTTTTGATCGCCATTTGTTCTTATTTTGATAGCAAAATTTTGCTCCTCTTGGACTCTTTTAGTTTCTTCTCAAAATTCAAAATGGTATTTTTTTTTACCTCCCTGTTAGTACCATGGGGTGTTAAAACAACCCACAAAATGTTTTTTCTTAATATTATTATTTTTTAAAATTATTTCACCCCAAGCCAGGTTGATCTTAAGTTAGGCATTGTTGCTGATGCCTTTGCTATTCTCATCATCTTTTTCTTTTGAAAGTTTTCCATTTTGAGTCACTGTTATGTGAAAGACATGAAATTGTGAACAACAAACAATGATGAGCAAAAAATGATTTATATAATTCCAAGAGTAATCAATGAATATGCCACTAAGATGCAAGGGGTTACTGAGTGTTAGAGATCATGAGAAAAAAAAAAAACACTATTAAGGAGAGAGAACAAAAAAAAGAATAGGAATTAAGGAGAAAGAAGATAATGACTGACATTGCATTTAAATTTTTAAAGATCAAAGTTGACTGGGACGTAAGAAGCCGGAAGAGAGTTCCACAAGTAAGAAGTGCGATAGAAAAAACTGTTAGCATAGAACTTACAGTTACATCTATTTCAATTGTAAATGAATATTGTTTTTATAACTTAAATGACATTGGTTTTAAATGTTATTATTAATTAATTAATTATCATGAATTTTTATTTTTGTTATCATTTCACCCCAAGTAAGGTAATAAAGCCACCAAGAAGCAAAGGGGTTATTGAGTGCTAGAGAATATGATAAAAAACACTATTAAGAGAGAGAACAATAAAAGAACAGGAATTAAGAAGTCAGAAGATAACAATTGACATTGCATTTAAATTTTTGAAGATCAAAGTTGACTGGGAAGCAAGAATTTGGAAGATATTTCCACAAATGAGAAGTGCGATAGAAGAAACTGTTAACATAGAACTTACGGTTACATCTAATCATTTCAACTGTAAAATGACAAGACTTGTTGTAGGATTATTTCAAACTAACTGCAGACTTGAAAAAGAAATTACAAAACCTCCTACAGAAGGTAGCAAAGGAGAGCAAGAAGAAGGGACTAAGCATAAGCTACAAGAAGACAGAATGCATGGTTATCAGTAAAAAAGGTGAGTCCAAAATGCGATTTACAGGTTGGGGACACTAAAATCAAGCAGGTGTGGAAATTTAAATATCTGGAAAACGTTCTGACAGGAGACAGTAAGTGTGACACTGAGATTCGAAAAAGTATTGGGATGGTCAAAGACATATTCCAAAAGCTAGGCACAGTGTTACAAGACAGGAGAGTTTCGTTGGTAGCAAAGAAAAGATTGCTGCACTGCTATGTGATATCTGTCATCCTTTATGGCAGTGAATGTTGGACAGTCTATGAAGAAGAGACTCAAGGCAACAGAGGTGTGGCTCTACAGAAGGATGCTGAGGATGCCATGGATTGAACATGTTTTGGAGAGGATACAAACAAAAAGGAAACTCATACTTAACATCAGGAAGAGGCAGCTGAAATTTCTGGGACATGTAATGAGAAAAGAGGGCTTGGAAATTCTGATACTCACAGAGTGGATGGGGAAAGAGGGACAAGAGAAAGCAATGTGTGAGATACTTAACAGCAAATGGATGGCAGATCAGGGCCTGGAAGAAATAACAAACAGTCAGAGTTTATTGAGAGTTACAAGGGACAAGAGGAAATAGAGAACCATGATTGTCTATGTCCTGAAGGGAGATGGCACATAAAAGAAGAATTGTGTATTCAATTATTTATATCTTTTGTGTCACATTGCATAGTGGGAAGGGAAGTAAATCAACTTGAGTGATTACTTTCTTTAGTCATTTCAATGATCTATACAGATAAAATATTTATCTGTATTTAGACAAAATTAGTTCCTGATCTATTTAATTAATGTACTATTTAATTAATCCATTTCTTAGCAGTTTTAATTTTTCACATGTTTCTTGTGAGGCACTGAGATAACTTTGTCTACTAAGCCATCTGTTTGCTTCAACTTGATCTTAAGTTAGACATTGTTGCTGGTGCCTTTGCTATTCTAATCATCTTTTTCTTTTGAAAGTTTTCCATTTTGAGTCACTGTTATGCGAAAGACATGAAATTTTGAACAACAAACAATGATGAGCAAAAAACGATTTATATAATTCCAAGAGTAATCAATGAATCACAGATACCATTGACCATCCTAAAACTATAAAGGGAATTGATTAATTAAACGGTACATTAACCTTTATTTCAGTTGTAAATTCTGGATTTCTGCTTTATTGAAATGCAATACATTGTTTCAAAACTTTTGTTTTCATTGCATCTCAATATTAAAACTTTCTTTCTAACAAGTGGCATCCTTTTTTTACATTACAAACCCTTCTTTGTATATTCTCAGGATATATAGTAGGAGAACCAGACCAGATATGGCAGCAATATTCAATCCATGGAGAAATGGTAAATTTATAAATATGCTATATTTTCCAAACACAGTCAGTACATTGTTAATTAATGTTTGTGAATGTTGGCCTTTTTCAAATATTTTTTTATTAATAATGCTTTCATTATTTTTAGCCTTGTTTTTTACACATGGATGAAGCTATTATATTTATATTGTCAACAAGTATACTGCAGATGAAGTTTGGTAGGTCTTCGTATATATATTTAAATGTTACCTAATTGAGCTATAGTCAGAGATATGTAACATAAGTCTTCTTGTCAGGCATGTTGAAGTGCATCCAATATAAACTATCAACTATGAATGCATCCACAATAGGCATACAGAATATTCAAACTATTTCTACAAAATTTATGTCCAGAAAAGAAATAAATTATAAGAGCAGAAGAAAAATTAAATAAAAAACTTGTCAGTCATTTTTAATGAAACATAAATATATATGTGAAAAGTGTATATAAATATAAATAAATATAAGTATGTATAATTATTTATATATTATATCTGTGCACTTATTAGAAAGCGCTCAATATCAGAGATAGAGCTAACATATTTGGTTGGATAGATGTGAGTTTGTGACCCTGGGTTTCATGCTTTAACGAATCTCAGACATGTCTGACGATCGCTAAAGCGTGAAACCCAGGGTCACAAACTCACTCTATCCAACTAAATATATATATATATATATATATATATATATATATATATAAAGTGAAGAATGCATATACATATTCTCCATTTTAGGGGCAAGGTGGGTGTAAGCTAAAGTTCAAATAAAAGTTTTTTTAAACTGATGTAATGGAATAACCTGTCACCCCCATGAGTGACTACACTATAGGTAGTAACTACCTATAAGTATCTGTAAGTCAATGGACTACAAAGTCTAGCTGTGACCTGTTCCAGCTATACAGTGAAACTCTCTACCTCTGAGCAGAGAGGAACCTGGATGAGGCTCTGCCAAAGGGCAGAGTCTCGTTCAGGGAGGTAGACTGCCTCTGAACCCGTTTATACAGGTTCAAAAGGAAATACTTTTGGCCGAGCCTTTGGGCTCGGAGAAACCACGTTAAACTGTCCTTGTGCCACATGCAACCCTCATGGGGGGTTAGCTAAATATACTAGCTGGGATCTGTTGAGTACAACTCAGATTTATGCAAGAACTACCAACCTTCCAATAGTAGTACTCACTACTGGATTGACTTGCAATGACCTTGTGCATAACTGTTACCTTTATTCTTATTGTACTGGTTTTTTACAATAAATCTTTACTTATTTCATTCACCGTGTTTTTCAAGTATATATTCCTGTTAGCATGGAATATAACATAAACAGTATGAAATTATTTTTAATCCAATATCTTTAAGATAAAATGCCATACAAATAGCAATTTAAAATTAATAATAACATTAAAACAAAATAAAAAAGCTGCCTGAAATAAGTTATTCCTATCTTTTCCATCAATAACTTCAATCAACAAGGTTAGTATCTAAGTAACATCAATACTTATCTGATACACATTTTTTTATTATCATTAAAATAGCACTTTATGCAGCAAAAATCTATTTTGAATATTAGTGTTTGAAACTCTCTTGCACAAGACTAAAGTTCTCTTCATATTTGGCTTTATTTCAAGCAGAAGAACTATAATAATTATAATAATAATAATTATAATAATAATTATGATGATGATGATGATAATAATAATAATGATAATAATAATAATAATGATAATAATAATGATAATGATAATAATAATAATATTTAGAGAAGAGCGCAATTTAAGAAAACAAAAAGAAAAGAAAAGACAGTGTTTGACAATATTCAACAATATTTTAACAGTATGTCTGTCTTTTTCAAATTATGTTTAAAATCTTTTTACAAGTACAAAGATATAAAAAAAAAAACTCCAAAAAATTATAACTTTTTGTACAAATGCCACTTGATCATGAAAAAATGGCTGTGCTGGTAACCAGTGCAATGAAATGAAAGAAACATTGCCAGCATGATGACATGCAACTGAAACATACTTAATATGATGGTGATCTTGCTAATTCTGGAATTTTCCATTAATTACAAAGAGGAATTAATCAAATCGCTGAGTATAAATCTGATGGAACTCTCCTGTCTTTTTGTTCATTCCCCTGGGAAGGAGGGAAGTTAATAGTTTGCATACAGAACATTTTCCATGTGTTTTGAGTCAGTAGATTCTGAATAT